GTTTATTTTGATTTTTTAATTTATTCAAAAAAATTTTTTAGTCTCAGAGCCCCATTTTCCTAGCAAACCTCCCATATTATCTAAAATAAAAAAAATATATATTTTTTTAAATTTTTTTTTTTAAAACCTTTTAACAATATTTATGATTTTATATATATTAAAACCATCACTTAATTATATTTTTTTTTTAAAAAATCAATCTTTTTAACTCTAACTTTATTTATTATATTCTCTAAAATACTTAACATTATTTCTTTAACCTTAGATTTACTAGTTTTTATCCTTATTTAATTAAGATATATCTAATAATATTATATTTATAATTCTATCATTAATAAATTCAAAATTTTGATAATTTAAAATATTTTAAACTTATAAAAAATAATTTATTATCTAATAATTACAGAAAAATATAATTTGATTTATTGGTTTTTTTTTATAAAAAGATATTATGATTTAAATAATTAAATTATTTTTATAATAATTTATTACTTATTATAAAAATATTAATATTTTTATAAAATTTTTTAAAAATAATTTTAATTAAAAGTAAAATTAAAACCATTTAAAGAATATATTTTATTAAATATAAATTAATTAATATAAAAATAATAAACTAAAAACAAAAATAAGTTTTTATATAGCATTAATTATAATAATTGATCTTATTTAAGCAAAAAATAACATAATTTAAATAGTATTCTTAAATTATATAAACAAATTTATTATGTATTTTTTTTAAAAAATCAAATAGCATCTTTATTTTTAACTTATATTTAATAATAATATTTAAATATTTAAATTTATTTTATATATTATATATAGTTTATTAAAAAATTTGCTTTAAATTCTTATTTTCTTTAAAATTGGATATTATTCAAAAATATTACTTTTTATAATTAAATAATCTGATATTATTCAATAATTAAATTTATTCTAATTAATAAGTTGATTATAAAGTATTTATTAATAAAATATATTAATATTTAAATTTATGTTCATTTATATAAATTTAATTTGATATTCTATATAAGAATATTTAAAAAATTATTTTTTTTAAAAATTATATAATAAAAACTTGTATTGTATTAAAATAAATAATTATAGATTTATTTATTTATAAAATATTACTAAATTTGATTATATTATTTACAAATCGGTATAAAATCATTAAGGAATAGGATATTTGTTTATTTGTTTTGCAATAATAATTTTTTAAAATTTTCCGTATTTATTATAAAAAAAAAAAAAAATATATAAAACTGATTTCTGATTTATTTTATCGAAATTCTAACTAGAGGAAACATAATTTTACATATGTTAAAGTTAAATTCAAACCTTATTAGTTATATATATACCAAGATTGAATTCATTATATTTATCTGTCTTCAGCCCATTCATTTTCCTTTCGAATCTGTTCCTCTTCTTCGGGGGTAAAGTCATTGACTATATTAAATGTGGAACGAATTTCTTCTGGAGATTTTCCCTTGATCATATTGGCAACAGTTTTACAACCGATATCTCTAAAAAATTTAAATAAAAAAGATACACATGAATTATATAAGAGCAGAAATAAAAATTACAAATTAATACAAATAATTAAATAAATAATTACAATAATGGCTTAATATCCAAATAATTTGCGGCCTAATAATTGATTCAAAAGAAAAAAAATTAATTTAACGATCAAATAAACGATAAAAAAAAAAAAATTTATTATTACCAAAATGATTTCAAAGAGCATATCTTGTTCAACACTTAAAAATCTTTGGTCCCAATCATCAATTTCGGTATTTCTTCTACGAGAGTCATCATCATCATTCGTAGGTTGGGGGTCATTTACGTGATGTTGACACCACTCCAAGACCTAAATAAAAATAAATTAATACAATCCATAACGGTAAAACATAACAATTTATGTAAGAATTATTATTAAATTTACTTTTTTTAACACTTTTTCATTGACGTTTGGAAGTGGAATTGATTGATCAGTTTCACCAACATCTAACAAGAAAAAAAATATATAAACGCGTTAAAATGCTAATGTAAATTTAAGAAGAGAATTCAATCGTCTTTATAAAAAAAAAAACACTTTTAAAAAAAGGAGAGAAATAAAGACAAGCTATGAAAAGTAGATAATATAAGGAACTTTTTTGATTCTTCTCCTTGTATAATCTTTTGCAGATGTTTATTTTAAACATATTACCTTCTATCATGTTCTTGAGCAAGATAGAACGACTTGCGACTGGTATTTCTACTTTGAATTCCACATCGTCACAACTTTTTAAGGTAACCTTTTTGTTATCATCGTTAGTGGCAGCAGCACTAGTACTCATTTTGAATAATTATTTTGAATTTGATTTAAAAAGAAAATAAGTAGAAGACAGATAAATTTATTTGACTTAATGAAGGTCAATATTTGAATAGACAAAGGAAATTTTTCTGCGAAACTAAAATTGGGACATTATCATTCAACTTTGTTACACTAAGTCTGAATTTAATATTTAATTTTTACAATTTTAGAAATATTTTAAAGAATAACTTACATATCAATGTTAGGGTGATCTCAGTTAAAAAAAAATCTCATTGAATATGATTAATGTAGCGATATTCCTATTCCTCTTCTTCGGGGTAAAATAATTGACTATATTAAATGTGGCTAAATCTCTCCTCGGAGATTTGCCTTTGATCATGTTAGCAACGATTTTACCCTATTTATAAAGAGGAATTATAATTTATTGATAAGAATAACCGAGAATAAGTTTATTTTTTTTAGGGATCGATTGATTAGTCTCACCCATATCTTTAACGCGTTAAATGTTAGGGACGATCAAATAAAATTCGTTTATTTTTAGGATAAAGTAAAGGAATATACTGCTAATATTAAGAAAGTTCTATGAACCAAATATCCAAATAAATTAATTTAATTTGAGAAATTCGCAATCAAGGAATAGATCAACCTTCCGCAGCTTGTTAGTATATATTTTAATATATTAAAAATAATACAGTACATAATAATCATCTATTATCTATAAATACAAAAAAAAAATTACAAATAATTAAAAGTGATTTTTTATGATGCGTAATAATTGCCAGGAGGTTTATGATATTTTGACTGGTCTTGATATATATTAGGATTAGGATTCGTATAATCATTATAAGATGGTTGATTGGAAGGAACTGGATAACCATCTTGTGGTGAAGTGGATGAATATGGATTATACGCATTTGGATATGAAGAGGAGGGTGGTTCATGGGGTGATTGATGCGGTGATTGATGGGAATAAACAAATTGATCAGCTCCAGCAGGGGTACGTCGAATAGGACTAGAGTGTCCTTGTCCTTGATAGGGCATTGGTGATTGATATGGATATTCTGAACCGGGTTGAGGTCCAAATGGAATTGATGGACTTGAATATTCTACGCCAGGTTGAGATCCAGGTAAAAATGATGGATTTGAATATTCTACACTAGGTTGTGGTCCAGGCAAGAATGATGGATTTGAATATTCTACACCAGGTTGTGATCCAGGCAAGAATGATGGATTTGAATAATCTACACCAGGTTGTCCAGGCAAGAATGGTGGATTGGAATACTCTACACCAGGTTGAGGTCCAGGCAAGAATGGTGGATTGGAATAATTAGATTGAGGTCCAGGTAAAAATGGGGGATTAGAATATTCTCCGACAGGTAAAGGACGATTTACAGGTGATGGTGAATGTTGCCTAATTTCTTCTTCTTCATACACACCATATTGTGGTATATATGGAATTTGTTCACTTTCGTTATTCGGTTCTTCTTGAAAACTTTGTTTATCATCATCAGATTTATTTCTTTGCATACCTACTAAAAAACCTATCGTAGCCAAACCAGAACTTATCAGGCATACAATCATCAGATAATACGCGTTATCAAATTTTGCTGAATAAACGGTTCCAACCATTTTATTTATTGGTTTCACAATTTCATTATTATACAATATGAAATCTATTATAAATGCGAAAAGAACAAAAATAAAAGCAACTGATGAACTTTGTGCCGCTACTCTTAGGAGTCCTTTATCTCGATTTTTGCGTTTATGTGCAAATACGCCAACAAAAGATACAATTGATAAAGTAATCAACGCTAAAATAAATAAAATAAAATTTTAAATGATCAATTAAATTCTTTTTCTTTTTACCTTTTTACATAAATCAAATCATCAAAATAATTTTTACCAATTATATGAACCACAACCAAATAACTTAGTGATGTGCTTACTGCACCAGGTAAGCCTTTATTAAGGCCACCAGAAATCAAATTAGGATTCAGTGATCTTCTAGGATCTATTTAAATATGTATATCGTTTTTAGAAATCTTCTGAATACATTGTTGCATTATAATATGGTTTCCGTTTGAAAATTAGATGTTCGAATATTCATTTGTAATATTTAAATGAATATCATTTTTACTTTCAATGATGATGTTGAATGCAATTCATTAAAAATATCATTAGTTTATATTTATTGATATAAATAAACATTGAAAAGGCTAGAAACTATAACTTTCAGCTACCTATTAACAAATAATCGAAAGATTTTTTCGATTATTACGAATAATCGAAATGATTGTTTTATATTCGAAATCATTTCGATATTCGTTTGATTTAATTTCACACGGAAACCTTACATTATAAAACCTTCAAACTACGAGGAAAAAAGGTACTTACCAAAAGCAAAACCTATCTTCGTCGAGGTGCATTTCTTTGGTTCACCATTAATTTGTGCGCAATAACCCCATAGTCCAATCGTTAACTCTTCTTCAACCGTTAAGCCCAACCGTGATATCTTTACGAAATATAGTGGTTTGATGATTGGAGTTAAAAGATTTATTACAAAAAGTAAAAAAAAAGAAATAATAGTAAAAATCGTTCCCGGAGTTGCCTCTCGGCCCATATAAGCCATCACTTAAACTTAATAGTGATATTATTAGGTCAGTTATTGTCAGTTATTCATTTATTACAAGAAAGGATTCTAAGGTCAACGTTGTACATGTACCACACTTGTAAGAAACGTTAATATTATGCAACATTTACCATATTTGGAAAAAAAATTAATTGAATTTTATTGTTACAAAACTAAATTAGTTAAAAATTTTTGAGCAAAAAAACATATATTCGAAATCGCTACTCATTTTTATTGACCAATTTATTTTTGTATCCCATTTTAAATCTACTGTATTACAATATATTAAATGAATTTTTTTGTTAATATTAAAAATTAATATAAATCATATATATATACAAAATGTGTTTCAAGGCCAAACGTCCATAATCATATCTCAGTAATGAACCTAGAAAGAAAAGAAGAGATAGAAATGTTAATTATTTCAAATTACAAAAAAATCATTACTGAACATTCCTTCAGGGTTTTATAACACCGGATAGGCTTCTTTCGGTATTTGAATCATTATTTAAAAAAAAATTATAAAAAAAAGTCCAGTATACATACATACATACCATTATCCTTATGAATAGGATTTGGTGGAAGGATGACGAGGACCTGTATTACGTCTATCCATACCTCTATTTCCACTTCCACGTTGTGAGTTTATACCGTTACCGTTATGAGGATTATGTGGCGAATTATAATTATTCCGTGGGTAATAATTACGATTACGTCCTTCTTCTCTTGGGTGTCTTCTTTCTTCAACAGTAACATTCCCAAAATTTGGAACATTAATAACTTTTTTATTGAGAGCTTGCTGGTAGGATCTTTGAGAGTCAAATTCCACAAATGCACATGACTGGAAAAGTTTATTGGTTAAATATTTTAGAGAGTTAAATAAATAAAAACGATAATGTGCTCTAAATTTTTTTTTTAAAAAAAAATCCATAATTACTTTTGTAATAACGACATCCAAATGTTTCACAACTCCGAATTCAGTAAATACTTTATCAAGTACGTCTTTATTCATTCCTTCAACAACACCTTTAACATATAGTGAAAATTCTAAATAAGGAATAAGGTAAATATATTATTAAAAAAAGGCCTATAAACTATAATAATATTAAAAAATAAAAAGCAAACATACCACCCCTGTTAATAGTGTTGTTGTGACTGTTGTGATTGTTGTACGATCTTTGGTCACGATTAGGTTGTTGAGATTGTGTTCTTGGTAATGTCGAAGTAACAACTCGTCCTTTTGGTTCTGCAAGCTGAGTATTACCCCATTTCTGAGAATCACTAGCAGCTAAATTAGCCCACGAAGAAGGTTTTGATGGTGACTGTGATTGTGTCGGTGATTGATTGGTAGCATTTGAAGTATTTGCCAACTTTTCGGTTTGTACACTAATCGAACCAGGTTGACCTTTAGAATGAACATCCGATGAATTAGGCTTTTCATTTTCGGTCGCATTTCCATCTATATTTATGATACCTTCCGTTGAGGGTTTGGTTAAGGGTGAAGTTTCATTAACATTAGCTTTTGTAGGGGGAATTTCAGGAGATTCTTCAATTACTTTTGAATCTCGACCTGAATCTTGAGCTGATTCCTCAGCAAGGGTTGATAAAGTTGAAACTGAAACTGCATCTTCTCCATTAGCTGATTTTTCTTCATTTACTGTTGACACTCCATCTTCAATATATGATGACTCTTGGTGTATTGATTGTTGTTTAATGGAGTCAACATTTTCATTTTTCAAATAACGAAATATATCACTATAAACGTGATAATTATCATCCGTTGTTGATGGTTTGGCAAGGATAACGGTCCGGACAAATTTTTTATAAGCTTCGTCTTTATTGGAAATCTCTCCAGTAACTTGAACAACCACTTTGCCTTCAAGAAAATCTAGACTGTCAACATTGATGATTTTTATTGATGCATCCTTTAATTGCATCTCATCAATATTCTTTCTGATTTCCTAATATGAAAAAAATTAATAAAAGTTAATTTAAAAATATTCTTTTAGAAATTTCGTAAGCTTATGTTAATGGACCAAAATGAAATAAAACTATTCAGGTAACGAACTGTTAAAAAACAAACAAAATTTTCATAGATAAAGCAATTTAAAGTAAACTCTCTCTTTATAGCGTTTTTAACAACAAAACAAAAAATATACCTGTTGTCCCTGACAAATTTTGACCTCTTCACCTTCCAAGCCACGAATAAGTTTTGATTCCTTGTTATAAAAAAGGCATAAAGACTCGGGATTCTCGTTTAAATGCTTATAATACTCCCGCACAAAAATCCAACCAACTTCTTGTGCTGAAGACGATGGTCGATCAGAGCTTTCATTTATAGTAGTCATTGTTTTCTAATAAGAATAAAACGAACACTTATTTGTTTTGATTACAAGTGTAAAAAGCTTTTTATTCAAAGAAATTTTTTTTTTTCTAAAAAAAAAAAGAATTGAATATTGTCAAACCCGTTTTTGAACCTATTTTATATATGTCGGAATTGAATTGATTTTTTTTAAGAGCGTAATTTTGACTTGTTTGATTAGTCCGACAAATTTGTTATTGTTGATATATCTTCCACCTAACATTTTTTGTCTCACTATGACGGTCATCAGCATCAGTTAATTTTGGTCAAAGATTCATAATGCCGGCCCATAAATCACGTGGGGTTAATATTTGTGGTGATACAGGGTTTATATATAAAATTAGAAAAGTAAAAAATTACGAATTAAAAAAAAAAATGGCTCATTTAGACGGTATAGTTTAATCATATGTTTAAAGTTGTTAAGAGTGACGCGTATTACTCAACTAACCGTTCTTGCCTTAAAAGGTCAATTTAATTTTCCAAAGGAGGAAGAAAAGATTCTAGAATTTTGGCGTGAAATTGATGCGTTTAGGACGCAAACTCGTTTATCCGAAGGAAAACCAAACTTTTCTTTCTATGACGGACCACCTTTCGCTACTGGACTACCTCATTATGGACACTTGTTAGCAGGCACAATTAAGGTATTACTGTTAATTCTCATTTACTCTTGCGACTTTGTACATTGGTCTTTTTTATTTAATAAGTTCATTATAAAAAAAAAAAAAATAGGACATTGTAACCAGATATGCTGTATCAACTGGACATTATGTTGAACGTCGATTTGGTTGGGATTGTCATGGGCTTCCAGTTGAGCATGAGATTGATAAAAAATTAAACATCAAGGTTCTAGAAGTGATCTAATCCAATTACTTTATGTATTTAAATATTATTGTGTATTTATTAATATTAAGAAAACATATACAGGGAAAGGATGACGTTATGGCATTAGGAATAGACAAATATAACGATGAATGTAGAAGCATTGTCATGCGGTACTCCGTTGCTTGGCAAGAAACAGTAGAGCGCATTGGCAGATGGATCGATTTTGATAATGACTATAAAACTTTAAATACATCCTTTATGGAGAGTGTTTGGTGGGTCTTTAAACAACTTTATGAGAAAGATCAAGTGTACCGCGGAGTAAGAATCATGCCTTTCTCTACTGCTTGTACAACTCCACTTGCAAATTTTGAAGCTGCTCAAAATTACAAAGACGTTATTGATCCAGCAGGTAGAATTATATTTACTTTTATATAATTTATATAATACTCATTACTAATTAAATAAAATTCATATGATATTAGTTGTAGTATCTTTTCCGTTGGTTCATGAACCCGAGACTTTATTATTGGCCTGGACAACGACTCCATGGACTTTACCTAGTAACATAGCACTTTGTACAAATCCCGATTTTGAATACATTAAGATCAAAGATGCTCTTTCTGGGCGTACATATGTGCTTTTAGAAAAATGTTTGAATGTGTTGTATAAGGATCCTAAAAAAGCAAGATATACAGTAACGCAAAAATTTTCTGGTAAAGAAATGAAAGGATGGGAATATATTCCATTATTTGACTATTTTGTTCCTCAGGTATAAATTTCTGAAGTCATTAATTCAGATTTATCATAATGAAATTACTTTCTTTTTATTGGAAAATTATTAATTTTGTTTATCATTTGTATTTTACAAAAAGTTTAAAGGTAAAGGTTTTATTGTAGTCAATGATAATTATGTCACCGATGATAGTGGAACGGGAATTGTACATCAAGCACCGGCATTTGGTGAAGACGATTACCGTATATGTCTTGAAAATAAGATTATTACCGAAGATGGTAAACTTCCATGTCCAGTTGATGAACAAGGTCGTTTCACTCAAGAAGTGACCGATTTTGCGGAAATTTATGTCAAGGTATGAGTAATGCCATAATAATAAACAAATTTAACATAAACTTATATTACATATTATTTTTAATTTCATTAGGATGCCGATAAAGATATTCAAAAGGCTTTGAAACATAAAGGCCGACTGATTATTCAGTCACAATTAACGCATAGTTATCCTTTTTGCTGGCGGTGAGTAAAAAAAAAAATATTTAAAAACTTTTATTGATTTTATATTCTTTTAAGCTGTTTCTTAACCTTTTGGTGTTCGAATCAGATTTGTAACAATTATTAGCATTCAAAAAATTTAGTTCAGACACTCCCTTGATATACAAAGCTGTTCCTTCATGGTTCGTCCGAATCAAGCCGATCATTGACAAATTACTAGACAATAATAAAAAAAGTTATTGGTGAGTAATAATTTTTTTTAAATATATCTACGATCCATGATTTAAATGGATTTTTAACGACGTATTTTCTTCATTGTTCGTTCAGGGTTCCTGATTTCGTTCAAGAAAAGAGATTTGCTAACTGGGTCATAAATGCACGTGACTGGAACGTTTCTAGAAATCGTTATTGGGGTACTCCAATTCCTCTTTGGGTTAGCGATGACTATAATGAGGTGTTTTTTTGTTGATCATTTTAGGTTTATTTCCTTATCTTTTCAAAGTTATTCTTCTCATCTATTTCATTATAATATAGATCGTTTGTATTGGTTCGGTAGCAGAATTAGAAGAATTGTCTGGTTGTAATAAATTGACTGATATTCATCGTGAAAGTGTTGATCATATAACTATTCCTTCAAAGAAGGGAAACGGTCAATTGAGAAGAGTAGAAGAAGTTTTTGACTGCTGGTTTGAATCTGGAAGGTTTGCAGACATTGTTTTAATGATTTATCATATTTTGAACAATTTATTTGAAAAGATCTCAAATCTTATTAATATTTCTTTAAAAAAAAGTATGCCTTATGCCCAATGTCATTATCCCTTTGAAAACAAAGAAAAGTTTGAATCATCTTTTCCTGCTGATTTTATTGCAGAAGGATTAGATCAAACGCGTGGATGGTTTTATACTCTTATGGTCTTGTCGACTCATTTGTATGATAAGCCTGCATTTAAAAACTTGATTGTTAACGGTTTGATTTTAGCATCGTATGTACTATTTATTCATATTATTATTTTTAAGAATTATGAATTGGATCTTAATTCGTTAATTATTTATAGCGACGGGAAAAAAATGAGCAAACGTCTCAAAAACTATCCTGAACCCTCGTCTATCATCAATAAATATGGTGCTGATGCTTTAAGGTTTGAGATTTAAATAGATTTATTTATATTAACATATAATTTGAATTTCATATCACATATTGACATTAATTATGTTCTATTGAAAAGATTATATCTTATTAACTCTCCGGTAGTTCGTGCCGAACCCTTGAGATTTAAAGAAGAGGGAGTCAAAGAGGTTGTTTCAAAAGTGTTTTTACCTTGGTATAATGCCTATAGATTCTTCATATCACAAGTGGTTCTTCTTCATAAGGTTGTTAATAATCTAAAAATTTATATTTGGATATTATTTGTTTTTGATAATTAATTAATTTATTATCAATGCAGGAAACTGGTATAGAGTTCCTTTACAATCCATCAGCTAAACATTCAGCCAATGTTATGGATAGATGGATTTTAGCATGTTCACAAAGTCTGATAAAATTTGTTCGAGAAGAGATGGAAGGTAAAAAATAGTTCCTTGATAACTTTTTTTCTTTACACTTACAAATGATATTCACTTTTAAACTTTACTATTTAGCGTACCATTTATACACAGTCGTACCTCGACTACTAAGTATGATCGAACAGTTGACAAATTGGTATGTTAGGTTTAACCGCAAGCGTTTGAAGGGAGAAAATGGTCCAGAAGATGCTGTAGACGCGCTTAATACACTTTATGAAGTCTTGTTTACCTTAAGTCGTTCTATGGTATAATATTTAATCTACATAAATCCTTATTTAATTTTATTTAACTAAAAAATTTTCTCATTATCTTCAATAGGCTGCATTTACTCCTTTCCTTACTGAGTATATGTATCAAAGTTTACGGAAATATCTTCCATCTTCTAATTCTAACGAAGATGTTCGCTCGGTGCATTTCTTATCGTTCCCGGAAGTTCGAGAAGAGTATTTCGATTTAGAGATTGAGAGATTTGTTTCACGTATGCAATCAGTTATCGAATTGGGCCGTTATATTCGTGAGAAAAAAAATATTGGACTAAAGGTTTGAATATCATTTTACATTTTTATAATATTTATACATTCCATATATGATTAAATATATATATATATAAAATAGACACCTTTAAAAGAACTGATTGTCATTCATTCGGATCCTCAATATCATTCTGATGTTCTATCGCTAAAGAATTATATTGTTGAGGTAAAAATTTGTACATTTATTGTTAAGCATTGTAACTTTTTTTTTTATTAACAATATAATTTTTCAATAATTTTATCAGGAACTGAATATCAAAAATCTTGTCGTCACATCTGACGAAGATAAATATGGTATTAAATATCGAGTAGAAGCCGACTGGAAAGTATTGGGTCAGAAACTGAGAAAGGACGTTAATAAGGTTAAAAATGCTTTACCCGAACTGACTTCCGAGCAAGTTAAAGAGTTTGTTCAAACTAAAGAGATTATGATTAACGGAATTAAAATTGTCGAAGAGGACCTGCAAGTGATCAGATATTTCAAGGATGCTAATAGTCATTATGAGACGAACAATGATAAGGATGTCTTGATCCTTTTGGACGTTCAAGTTTATCAAGATTTACAAGAAGAAGGATGTGCACGAGAAATTGTGAACCGTGTCCAAAGACTTAGAAAGAAGGTAGAAAATAGGCGATAATTTTGTTTACTTAAATTATGTAAAAACTCATAATTTGTATTATATTTTCAAATTGCAGGCAGGATTACAACCTTTTGATCCAGTTTTAATGTATTATAAATTTACAAAAGATATTGATAATCAAATTGAAAAGGTCTTAAAATCTCAGTCGGATTTTATTATTAAAGTTTTGAAACGCCCTCTTATACCTATTTCCGAAAAACCCGAAGGTGGCGAAATTATTATAGAGGAAGAACAAGAGGTGATATTTCAGATTGTCCTTAATTTTTTTAATAGTATTTTTACTGTATTTTCTAATATATTTTATTTGCATTATGTGTTCACATTTGTAATTAGATTAATGAATCTACTTTTATCTTATGTTTTATCAAAGATTGGTAAAGGATGTTTTCAAAAGTTAAAAAATCAAAAGTAAAAGTTTAGCTTTTTATATTAAATAACAAAAGTAATGGAAGTCAAGTTTTATTTTAATAAATATGACCGCCCAATTCTTTTTTTTTTCACAAAAGTTTAAACCAAATGATTCGTTTTGATATATGCTTTTTAATACTAATGGATATTTATTATAAAAAAAAAAAATTGTATATATATACTGTATATGAATTATTTTATTATTTCAATTCTTAGTTTCAGATTTTTTTTGATATAACAAGAATTCAAAAGAAAAAAGGCTACAGTTAAACCTGTATATAGTCACGATTGGTTCCATAAAAATTAATGATTATATAAAGGTGTGATTGTAAAAAGGTTACCTTTATATAAATAATCACAACTATATTAGACTATTTAATGGTTAAATAGGTTTTACAAATAAAATACATTTTAGAATTTTAGAAAAATTCACGCAAATTTTTTTTTAAAGAGATGAAAGTAAAAATGTCATCATATTGGTAAATCAGAAGCACATTTATATATATATAATAAATAAGATCCACCATCTACTTTAAATTTATAAAACAATTATTAGACATACATATTTTATATTTTATTTAGAATTTAATTTTTATAACTACTAAAAAAATTAGTAATTGGAACTTGCTTTCAAGATTGGAGTTCAAGCCATCTCACTATTTTTAAGTATTTTTTAAAATATGATCTATTTACTACTAATCAAAAAATGTAATCTAAGTTTGTAAGGATTTTAAAGCTTTGTTTGAAGATACTAGTATCAGTTTTTCATCATCATTAATATTATCTTTATCATATATTTCCTCTTGAGCTAATTATACAATATTATCATCATTTAAAATATCTTTGGTTGAAATATCTTCTAATTCATAAAATTAATCGATTAATGCATTTTTTAATAAAATATTATAAGAATCATCTTTAGGTTTTTCTATTTCTTCAATCATTTGATCAATCTTTGTCACTTCATTATCTGTAGAATTTTGTTGAATTTGTGTTATATTATCTATATCTTTATCAGTCAAAAAAGGCAAAATTTCAGCCTTTTTCCAACAGTTATAAATAGTTTATCCAGTTACCTATTCCTATACATCTGTTAAATAATTGATCACCTCTTTAATATTAATTTTCTCTTTGTTAATATCTTTACCATCTTCAAAAAGGTTTAATATATGTCAGTAAAAATTTCTCTTATAATGATTTTTAAAGCTTGCAATTATTCTGGCATCAAATGGTTGAAGATGACTTGTAATATTAGAAAGTAAGAAAGCCACTTCAATATGAGTTAATTGAAGCTGAGAAATATTGGATCTATGACTTCTAGGTTTATCATCATAACTTCTACTATGACCTTTATCATAATGTTTACCATAACTTCCATTATAACCTTTATCATGACCTTTATCATGATCTTTATTTCTATGACTACCATTTCTTGAAGCTTAATTTCTTATTTAAAAAAATTTTAGATAAGGTATTTTTATTTAAATATTTATTTAATTTATTTATTTTTTTATTGTATAGTATATATATTAACAATTAAATATATAACAATTAAATATGTAAAAAAATATGTAATAATTAAATATTAATAATCAATAAACTATAATACTATAAAAATTTCTGATAATAAATTCTATATTATAATATTTTAAAATTGATAAGAGTAAATTAGATTAAATTTATAAAAATTTTACCAGATGTTAATTTAGCTTATTCATTACTGCTCAGTTGGTAAATAATGTGGATTAAAATGTGATAGAGCATTATTGACTAAAAACTAGACTTTTTTATTTTTTATTTTAAAATAATTATTCAATTTGCGAAGTACTTCTTCAAAAATCATCAAGTTTATCCATTCTTTTGAATTTCCACAATAATGAACTGGAAGCTATTCTAAATTAATATTTGAAAGAGATCTTAGATATTTTGTATTACTAATTATCCACAGTTTGAGTTTATCAATTTTTATTGCATTTGTATCAAAAAGAATAGTAATTTACATTTTATCCTTCTTCTTATTACGAACTGATTTTATTAAAAGTGTTTAATTAAAGATATCTAATAATAAAGACCTGTCTTATCAATATTATAAATTTTATCAAGAATATACCAGCTCAAAGTTGATGAAGTTTAATCTTTTTTTTTGGTAGAGATGTAATCAGTGTATTTTTAGACTTTCTATGTATCTGATATTAACAGATATTATTACATTTTTTGAAACTATCTAACTAACTATAAGAGAATACTAATTTATCTTCTTGTATACAAAATTTATTAACAAATATCTTGCTTTTCTTTTATTAGTAAATCTGTTAAGATCATATCATCTACTATTACACTTTCTATTCAAAAATTCATAACCTTATCAAGTATTAAAAATTTGACACCTCTATTTCTATAAATTTCTCTAGAATCTTCAATTTTTAATGCAGCATTTTAATTTTCACTTTATCCTAGTATCTTTGTAATAGTATTACTATATATAAAGTTGAAATGAAAACCCAAAAGTTAAAATGAAAAGTCAAAATGGTCGAAATGACGTCATATCACATATTTTTTATACTATATATAAAAAAGATAAAAAAAATAAAAGATGTACGATCATAGTCAATATTGATCTGATTTATATGAAACAACTACCATTCAATTCTTTGTGACTAGACGAATCTAATAAGCTAATATTCATTAATTTTGAATCATTTTTTTATTTTTTTTTATAGACGCAGTAATGTATTTATTTATTATAAAAATTCATAATCAGTTAAAAAAAAACATGAAAATCCAAAAAAAAGAGTACAAATGTAGAAAAATAAAAAATGTTACCTAATAATCATCATTAGTAAACTAATTCCAATCAGACCAACTGGTTATCCCATCAGGCTTCAGTAACAATTACTAGTAGAATTACCATCATTACCCAACTAGAGAAGAGAAAAACGTTTAACAAATAGTTATTACTGCATTATGAAGAAGGACCATTTCCGTTCATGAACAAATGATTTAGTTATAAAAGAAGTATGATCATATTTGAGTTTGGGTAAAGATATCAAAGAGTTTGAAAAATTGTTAATAGTGAAATTGTTTGAAGGACTATAATTTTATTTTTTATTATATTTAGAAATGTTAAGAGAACGTTCTTTATCTATAGTAGCTGCTGCGCATCTAGATTTTCAAATAAGTTCATAAGATTGATCAAAAAAGTAATCATAAAATGAGGAGATGTGAGAGAGGAAGAGTTGGTAAAAGAGTTAAGTAAATTAGAAAGGATGGTAGGAATAATATTTTTGATGAAATCTATGAAAGAAATGTTGTAAGGATCTTCTTTTAGAGCTCAAAAAATTATGTGAAGGAAGTAACAATGAATTAATATTAGGAGTAAAGATGGTAACAACAATTATTTTATTATGTTGCAACAAATAAAAAATTAATTAAATGTTATAACATGATTAACTT